TCATCAAGGGAAACCTGGAAGCACTTGACAGCCGTTTGGTGGTGGTGATGATGATGATGATGATGATGATGATGATGATGATGATGATGATGATGATGATGATGATGATGATGATGATGATGATGATGATGATGATGATGATGATGATGATGATGATGATGATGATGATGATGATGATGATGATGATGATGATGATGATGATGATGATGATGATGATGATGATGATGATGATGATGATGATGATGATGATGATGATGATGATGATGATGATGATGATGATGATGATGATGATGATGATGATGATGATGATGATGATGATGATGATGATGATGATGATGATGATGATGATGATGATGATGATGATGATGATGATGATGATGATGATGATGATGATGATGATGATGATGATGATGATGATGATGATGATGATGATGATGATGATGATGATGATGATGATGATGATGATGATGATGATGATGATGATGATGATGATGATGATGATGATGATGATGATGATGATGATGATGATGATGATGATGATGATGATGATGATGATGATGATGATGATGATGATGATGATGATGATGTGATCGATGAAGTCCAATTATCATCAAATGATTAGATAAGAGTAAACGTTTAATTGCTATAAATTGATGAATGTCTATGTTATAATTTCATTTATTACAACCCAGCTATTCCTATTACTTAGTATTCATGGACCCCAATTCACTCGATAAGTCTGCAAATCAAAACACGGTTGAATAGGAAAGAAATTAGATTCCAAACAACAATGGTAGATGGAAGTAGGAAGCACAATCAGAAAAACGTTATTATATTTATAATTGTTATATGAGAAGATTCTAGAGTCTTTTCCAAGTACCGACTAGCGCTGATTGGATAAGAAATAGTCAATCAGCGTGAACCAACACACTACCGCACGAAGTGTGCTTTGATCCAATCTATGTCCCGCTAACACGCTGATATTAGATAAGTACTTAATATGATACACTTAATGTGAGTAAAAAGCATAATTAATACTTAAACTAAAGTATGGAAGCTAGTTATGAAAATAATAAGTATCAACATTAGAAATGTAAAGAAACATAACGCATATGAATAATACGTTAGAAGAATAAATAGCACTGTACGGCCGTTTCGTCCTGTTGTGGGATCCCTCAACAGTGCACATCCACGATCCCGTCTCGCGAGATTCGAACTCACGGCCTATTAGTCTCGCGCGCGAGCGCTTAACCACTAGACCGCTGAGCCGACATCCTTCGGTGTTAATATCTAACTTCAATCAATCCACGAAATTGAGCAACCATTCATCAATGTCTTCAGTGAGTTTATATCGCCCAACAGACCTGGTTGAACTGCACTGGTTACTACTTCTCTGTTATGCCCCGATAACAATGATGAATTGTAACTTTGGGATCCATTTATGGACCAATATTATGCATATCTTTTTTATCGAATGATCGTTAAATAATTAAACTACTCATATTCATATTCCTTTCATTGTGAGATTTATTTTGACCCTTGTACTATCATTGTACGATTTACCATTCCTGAGTTATACCTAGTCTATCAATTACTGCTCCCACTATTTACAGCCACATTTGGCTAAATCCTGTACAAATGTTATTTTCTATTTTATTAGTACGATGTGGTCAGTCTGTTTGGTATATAAACTCAATATGTTTGAAATACAATGATTCATACCACAGAGGATGTTCTCTACTTAACTGGCTGGGCTAGGCAGAAGCAGGACAGATACGTACTTTAGACTGCTCGTACGGTTTTCGTGTCACTTCCAATCGATAATTTGCTGCTCTCTGATTGGTGGTTTTATCAAGTTCATACATTAAATGGGCATCCACTCGGCTACAAGATATAAGATTATCACTGGAACTGATAGGTCCTGGGTTCGAATCTCGTGAGGCGGGATCGTGGATGCGCCCTGCTGAGGAGTCACACAATAAGACGAAACGGCCGTCCAGTGCTTCCAGGTTTTCCATGGTGGTCTAGCTTCAATTTACTCATGATCTCAACTATATAAAATTACTAAAATCTCCACAAAACCCCCTTCTGAAAATAGTATTGTATTTGTCAAGAAAAATTTAATGATTCCAAACCAACTAACTGATTAAAAGATGTAACTTGTTTATTTCACATGCATCATTATTCTGACAGAAATTAATCCGGAATATTGTAACGTTACAATTATGTATTTGATGATTCTTATTTTAGATGTACATCGATGATTCAGAAACAATTTCAACCTTCAACTTGTACATTTATTTTTATTTTTACTTCATATAAAAACAAATTTACACCTAATATCAACTAGTAATAACTCAATCTTACACATACACACACAATTCATTTATTTATTTTCACCTTGTGAACTCTGCAAATTATCTGCATATGACTGACTTACGTTGTCGTACTTACTACAATCAGAATCTCGACTGTTGCTGCTACCTTGATGTGGTAGTCGGGCTTGCCTATCGTGATGAACCAATCGTGCTATACTGACTGGAACAATCGTTCCTCAAGGTCCTATCATGCCAGACAGGTCGGTTGAAGAGCGGTAAGACTAAAAGTAGCAAACCCAAGGCCCGAATGCGAAGTCGTATTGCCGACTGTATAGAGGTGTGACGGCAGTAAGGTGTTTCCTTCAGACAACCAGCATGACAGCGATGCTGCCTTCCAACAAGTAGGGGTGAGGTTAGAAAAGGTCGACCCTAAAAATGCACACCTCGCCTTATCCCATGGATTTCCGTCTCCGGCGGTAAGGTCCTTTGAAGAACGGAGCTAACACGTTGAAAATCCTCCACAAAAATGCCGTGTGTGACCGGCCTCAAACAGTTGTTGTTTGGGCTCTGCAGTCACGCTCCCAGGTCGTTAAGGCCAACACTAATCCAATTTCCTTTTCAGGTCCCTTAAGAAATACCCTTCCACGGTGTGGGCAGCCAGGAAGTGATATTAGCCCTAATACCCGTAACCGCACATGAGACCAAGTTGGTCGCATTCAAATCCTTTCTCTGACTGACAATCAACATCTAAATATGATTGCATTAGCATAGTATAGATTTGATTGTTAAACGCTATATACTTCTTTGGTAATTTTGATTTCGATTGTTACCCTGAAGAAGTTTAGACAAGTTTGCTGGACGAGACGTTGGAATTATTTAAATTTGAAATATAATTTTCATATACAATAATAGTTACAGTAATACAACTCTGTAGTCATCTGCAGCGGTTCAATAACTATTAAACAAGTTTAACGAATCAATGTTCGAAAAACAAAAGCTTAAGCATATACACTAGCATAACAATAATATTTCGAAATAAGCCCTAATAAACATATACTTGAACAAACTAATCAAAATATCTGCTACGGATTACTTAACCTGAACAGTGAGAGGACATTTAATTAGTATTGTTTGTTTGAATCTTCCCATCGATGTGTTAGGACTGCAACTGGTCAGTCTCTAATTGCATATATGCATACTGTGCGTATTGCCTCGATATAGCCTTAATTCACAAGCATAGTAAGCAAAGATGGATAGTGGCTAGAAGTGGAATCCAGTTTGACGCGCGACACTTCGTCCTATTTGGGATTCGTCAGCTGGATGTACCTGCATCTCCGAGTTTGATGTTCACTCTGGGAATCGAACCCAGTACCTTTCGCTTTAAACGCCATCGCGTTATCCACTCGGCTACTGAGTCCTGATAGCCACATGCTTGTGTAATGGGGTGAGAGGATATATGTGCTATATTTCAAGAATCACAGAATTAGGTGAAAATCGCTTTGATGTACGACTAGTGGAAACTTCTATATTAAGTTATCAGTTGCGTACTGTTGACATCGATCAAGAAACCAATCTATCCATAATAATAATATTTAAGAATTCGATATCAAAAAGAAATACATATGTATCGAAAAGAAAGTTGAAACAACAATAGAGATTGTAAACAGATAAAAAGTTTATTGATATTTTCTACGTGCTTTTGCAGCAATTTTCTTATACTTATCATAAACCCATGATAAAGGTAGTGAAGTTAATACGTAACTTTGTAGTGCATGAGCAAAACAACCTGTTGTGAATTCTTCCACACCTAACATATTTAATGCACTTTTAGCATAATCACGAGGTGATGGTATAAAGAATGATGCCTTGCTTGCACGTGACATTGCTGTTGCAACAAAAAGTGGACAAACTGTTTGAATAATCACTTTATTACCGGGAGGATTGAGTTCCGCCGCAATTGATTTTGAAAAATGATGAATAAAAGCTTTCGTTGAACCATATAATGAATTACAGGGTGATGGTAAGCAACCTAAAAATGAACCAATATTTATAATAGCTGAATTATTCTTCTTTTGTTTTAGCAATTTCGGTAAGACTAAATAGGTCATTGTTGCTACTGATTGAGTATTGCAAGCGATTAAATCTTGAATAAAATTAATATTCATAAATTTAGCATCTGCATAATTTTCAAAATATGGATAACTCATGCCAACATTATTCACAAGGCAAGCAATAGATGATAGTTCAGCTATTTCTTTTTCAATTGACTCATAAATATTATTCTAAAATAAAAAAGGAAACAAGAGATTAGTTTCAATAGTAATATAAAGGCAAGACAAATTCTAACCAAAAATGAATTATGGTAATACAAACCAACAGAACAAGGTACCAGGTCAGTCATATTTGATGAAATACGGAAGTATTCACATCGACTGAACCAGACCTGAAAATTAAAAGCACATACGTGGGCAGAAAACAATGTACCATTATTTCTAAACGCTTGTAAGACTGCATCTTACAGATGAAAGTGCTTTTACGGGTAAAACTTTTCCGAATTCATAACATTTGTCCACCAAGTGCAAATGCACAGTCAAGTTAGTATGGGAAGATTCAAACAAACAATACTAAATGAATTTAAAACTTCACCTCATCGCACAAGCAAGTGGCTATCAGGACTCAGTGGCCAAGTGGATAACGCGACGGCGTTTGAATCCAACGGTACTGGGTTCGAGTCCCAGAGTGAACATCAACTCTGAGATGCAGGTACATCCAGCTGATGAGTCCCAAATAGGACGAAGCGGGGCGCATCCTGGATTCCACTTCTAGCCACTATCCATCTCTGCTTACCAAGTTAGTATTTGTTTGAATGAAATAAGAATTAATCTCAATGGAGATAATATTATGAATTATATTACAAACCAATCTTGGGTAGACAATCCCTGAAAACTAGGAAGCATTGGACAGCCGTTTCGTCCTATCCAAAGACGCCGCAGAAGTGCGTATTCACAACCCCATAGGAAATTGAAACCAAAACCTTCAAGTTTTACAGTCAAAATTTAGTCTAATGAGTCGTTACCTAACGGTTTACATGTCTAGCTTCAATCAATTAATGATACTGCACAACCATCTTTTAATGCCTAACGACTGATTTAAACGATACACACAATACTCCCATACTGATAGATAATATTTGATTAATTATATCATCAATGAATAATAATAATTACCTAAACATTTTACAACAACAACAACTTACTTGTGTGAAATCAGCAACAACAATACGCGTTTTCACATGATAAAACGATTCGATTTTGTCGGCTACATTTTTTAATTTTTCCAAATTTCTGCTTATTAACATAATATTTAAACCATCACTAGCTAATTCCTCTGCATATGCTTTGCCTATTCCATCAGTGGCACCAGTCACAATTGCCCATTCACCGGAATATTTTAAGTTTTTCCGTTTTGAAAATAATATTCTTCCAATTGAGTAGTTGTAACATATTTTGATTAGACGATAAAAATAAATTCCGAATAATAAAATTCCTAAAGTCTGTAGGTTGATGAATGAGACAGAATGCCACAATACGCTGAACAGTGCTTCAACCATATTTCAACTACATTAAGAGAAAATTTGTATGTGTATTAATACTTATTACACAAAATTCTAAAGTTCCACTTATTTTCTAAGATCTAATTAGATAGAATAATTTAAGTAAGTTATTCAAAACCACAGTACTATAATTCAGAGTAAACTTTACACCCACGCTGACAGTAAGCCTTTAGAAATAATACTTAAATTCTTCAGTTACTTAAATAAATACAACCAATCAAAAACAAGAGCATTTATCGACTATATGCCGAAGAACAACTACTTTTAACGTCTAATCATATGTTTGAACATTAGAAGTCGGATTAACTGTTTGGATTGATAAATAATGATCAAAGCCAGACAAAACCAATGATCCTTAACTCACTCGGTCTAGAACAATAAAAGGTGAATTGAACAATACGTAAAATGCTTTCGTTTTCAGTCTTTTTCATAGTGAATATTAAAAAATTAGACAAAATAGTGTTAGCTATTATAGAATTATAATGATTTAATTCACTCAAATAATACTAATAAAGACAAAAGCTTGATAACTGTAGGGATTGAGACAGCATACATAAAAGTGTCCTCAACAAGTTTGAATACAACACGTAGAGAACGACAATGCAGTGCATAAACACATGTTGCTTTACCGCGCATTACCTGAAAAAACAATACTAGAGTGATGGGACCAAGTATCAAATTAGTCGATCATAAACAACATAAGAGTTGACATGAATCTGTACCGCGGCAGACCTCATGCCAACACAGAGAAAACAAACAAGCTTAAATAATGTAACCAACATGGGAAACCTCACAAGGAAAAGACACCACGGGCTACTTAGAAAGCAGAGAGTCATTAACACCACATTTGTCCGTGATTGTCGTGCTGGAGAGACCTTGTATGAACACAACAGAAACCGAGTTGCAGTTATATTTCATTGTAGCGGCTTCGATGTAAGAACATCTGTCAGTTCCAATTTATCCAGTAGCTCCGTTACGAGCTTGTAAAAATTGATTAGATTCTTTGCACCTGCTTCTTTTTGTTTCGGTAAAGCTCCACGTACTTGCTAATATCCTATGGGTGGTAGTATAGCTACTCGACTGCGCTAATTCTAGTCAGTTTGGTAGTTAATTGTGGATTTGTATATTATGTAGTTTGACTGAGTACGTTTGTCTCAGAGTAGTAGAGTTTACAGACACCAGCAGCTTTCACATTATCATGCAGGAAGTTGATTGGTCGCAATATGAAAAATAACATAGCACGAGTACTAAAAAAGACGATTGGTTTGAGAATAGGTTAACTAGTCGGCGATTCAGTGTTAAAAAAGCGTGACGGAAAGAATCCCAGGGTGTAGTGGTAAATAAATCCTCAAAACCAATAGCTCTGTAAGTTTTCGACATTTGATGCTGACCACACTAGTTTTAATGGACTCACCTGGCTGAGGGCGCCCGGTCATGAATCCGCACCAGAACACGAGTACAGAAAGCCGTGCTCAACATTCCTTGTAATCACTACCCAGCCTAGATAAGTCGATTCGCGATATATTGATAGTCTATCAAATATAACTTTGAACCCCCTCAATTCTGACTTTCAATTTCACTAGATCAGTACGATTCATAATAGAAGGTGTTACTGGTTAAAGCGATGTCAAACTCCAAATACCTGAGGCATCTTCAGGGGAAACTTAAGTGATAATGAGAGATAAGTAGTTACTGATATATATTAATGGTAAGTGTGGTGTACTATAATACGTGCAACATTTCAGACCCTTCTGTCAATTGTTCAAAAATATGTGCAGCTGAGGAGCAGTCTACATTGTCGATTAAACGGCATACAGCTGCCTATGCAAATTGAGGTGGGGGGACCTGGAACACTTGACTAAGATGCGAACTTGTTGATTTTTTCAGAAGCCGGAAATTTTGTGAAAATACAACAAGACCTCAGGATTCGCACTGGTCAAGGATTTCTCCTCAAAATTTACCCACATGTTTACGAAATTCTCACTGGCTATGGGGGACTAAGACCTCCAGGGTTCTATATATAGCCAAATAGGAAGGTTGCTAGACATTAAGAGGCGGAGAATCTGGAAAGAGGGTTATTAAATAATGTTTATAATCGACCATAGAAAAGGGAACACTTGGGATTATACGTTACATTACATCGGTAATTCCCTAGGTTTTGATATGTGCGCCGTGACCCTGAAGCAACATGTGTGTATCTGATTTGCTCATACTTATGTTCAGTATTTACAAAAAGGTATAGTTGCAGATCTTTCTGAACGACTGATGTCATTTATGACAACTTTAGGACTCTACATATGTTCACATTCAAAGTAAATTTCTGGTGAAAATGGAAACATATATATTTATTACAGTAGCTGTAAATAATTCCTCAAAATCAATAGCTTTGTAAGTGTTTAACATTGGATGCTGACCACATTAGTTTCAAGGACTCGTTCAGCTGAAGGCGCTCGGTCATGCATTTGTACCAGATCACGTTACAGAACGGCTTGGGAAACATCTCCTACGACCATTAGCCAGATTAGATCGGTCACATCTCGATATACTGATAACCCATCAAATATATCTTCCAACCTCCTCGCTTCTGACTTCTGATCTTAACTGGGTGGGCGCGATTCGATTGTAGAAAGTGTTACTTGTAAAGATTTGTCAAACTACAACACTGGTGATATCGTCACTACAATTCTTAGATAAACAGTTGCAATGGTACCCTCAGAAATAACGCGATGTTTAAGAAGCTGGGTTGGTAATTACTTTACTGACTATGAATCCTGGACAGTTTTCACGTAAGTCATCATCTGGCAAGTGCTGTCATCGAGGGTCCAGTAGGTGAACAGCGTTTTCTAGTTTCAGATCCAGATTTCAGATTTGTGTCATAAGGGCATAAGGCCTATGTTATTCCTCTTGTGGTATGTTTCCGTATATGTCTAGTCTTCAACACCAACTGATTCACCATAATTCCCTAACACCCTTTGTGTAACCTCACTACCATCCGGTGATCTCAGGAGATGCGAGCAATGTTTCTAAGGCATCTGTGGTCAAATACTAGTAACTTTCGAGTATCTTCTACCATTATTAGCCACGATTCGCACCCATAAAGTCGGACAGAGTGAACTTCCGCGTGGTACACTCGTTCCTTAATTGATAGACGGATATCTCACCTTCACTATAGGTGACGTAAGTTGACAAGAGCCGAACGAGTTTTCTGAATCCGTACAGAGATTTCTTAAAACACCAACATATTAGGCCAGATCAGACTTCCAAGATAGGTGAAGTTGTCCACGCGTTCGACTACTTCACTCTCTATCCTTGGTTCAGGTGTTGATGCAGCCCAGTCCTGAAGCAACAACTTGCGTTTAGAGGGAGAGAAACACACTCCAAACATCCCGACATTATTACTCAGTCTTACCAAACGACTCTGAATTTTATCAGCGTCCTCAACAAATAGGACTATGTCATCTGCGTATCCTAAGTCGATAAGTGGACCTCCTGGTAGGAGTTCGATTCCCGAAAATTCAGTAGACGATAACGTTGTTTACATCAGTATGTCTATAATGAAGTTGAACAAAAGTGGAGATAGCGGACAGCCTTTCCGGACACCACTTGAGGTTGCGAAATTAGATGACAGTTTGCCATATACTCTCACTTGACTGGTAGTGTTCCAGTAAAGAGTCTTCACAAGGTTTATATACTTCTGAGGTACACCTTTCAATGACAAACACTGCCACAGAGCCTCTCGGTCTACGGAGTCAAATGCTGCTTTCAAGTCAAGAAAAACTATCATTGTCGGACGCCGATAAGCATGTCTGTGCTCTAAAACTTGACGAATGGTGAGTATGTGGTCGATACAGCCACGACCAGGTCTGAAGCCAGCCTGATTTTCTCGTGTTTGCAGTTCACGAGTCTTAGTTAGGCATCCCATAATTATTGAGGCTAGTATTTTAGATGCTATATTAGTCAAACTAATCCCTCCATGGTTATTACAGGATGATTTTGAACCCTTCTTATATATTGGGGACAATAAGTGATTGCGAACAGTCGGATGAAATTACGTCCAACTCCCAGATTTTAGCCAGAATATTAGTCAGCCTAGTCGCTAAGATTGGACCACCATATTTAAAGACCTCTGGAGTCAATCATTCTGGACCAGCTGCTTTTCCTCGTTTCAGATTAGTTATAGTTTTTTGGACTTCAGGTAGGGTCGGAGGGCCTACTTCAATGTTCCACTCACTTATTATTATTACTACTCATAAACATCTAATGGGTACGTAAGTGTTATGAAGAAACTATTTCGGATGTCTTTAGAAGTGCAAAAGTTTCAATAATATTAGTATAACGTCAACCATATTTGAATAAAAAGCAAGAAAGGAAAATGAAAAAATAACAGTAATGATAGAATAATAATTGATCAGGTTCTGTGTGATTGAAAAAAATATCGATTTGGCTTTGAAGAAGGAAAGGGAGAAAACAAGTGAATAGAAATAAAGTAAACGCGAAATACGTAAATAGTTTAATAAGCATGTTTGTGAACACAGAACAAGAATAAGCGACTATGTTTGGGAATGGTGTGTAGTTGTATAGTAGCTGAAGGTCAACTGAAATACTCCTTAAAGTGTTCCGCCCATCGTTCTAAACGTCTAAGCTGAGAACAGATGAGAGTTTTGATTTTTTCCGGGATTGTCTTACTTACATTTGACTCCTTAATTCCAATTTCTTTTATTAATCCGAAGAGTTGTCTGGTGTTACCTACAGCCACTGCCTTTCCCATCTTTGCTTTCGTTGCCCACCACTGCTCACGATCGTTCCTTAGACTTTTAGTTAACCTAGATCTAATTTCTTTACGCTCTTCGTCATGTTCAGAGCCTGATGGGATGAGTTTACGCGAATCCATCAGTGAAATAGACTTAGAAGAAATCCATTGGTTTTTTGGAGCCCTATGGTTTAAATGACTAATAGATGTTACTGCTGTTTCCACAGCTGTTCGTATATCTTTCCAA